TCCTTTCAGTGGCCCGGCCTCAGGCAGAGCCCCAGTGACTGTCTCTCTTTGCTTCAAGGGGCTATCAGCAGCAGGACGCCCATGAGTTCATGCGCTACCTTTTGGACCACCTGCACTTGGAACTCCAGGGCGGTTTCAATGGTGTTTCCCGCTCAGCAATTCTGCAGGAGAATTCGACACTGTCTGCAAGTAACAAGTGTTGCATGTAAGATCAAGTTTCTTTGTTTTTTTCTGGGAGGACCCCAGCCATTTCTGTCGGTGTTACTCTGTGTTAGATTTATAATGAAAGGTAGAGGGGTTTCCTGGACATTGGCTGAAACTTTGTATCCACCTGACTCTTCCAGACAGAATCGTCTGTGTCCCCAGGCCAGACTCAAGCTGGCCAACCCTCGGTGTGCCTGAGTCTCTGGGTCGACAGGCGCACACCACTGCGACTGGTGTTAGGACCAGGAGTTGGACCCGGGCCTCCCATGTGGTCTCATCTTCCAGCGAACCAATCCTAGTGGCATGTAACACTGTGGCTAGGCCTGGTGTAGATTATTTTATAACTTAAAAATAGTAGAAAATAATTGTATAATTTGGCATTTTAAAGATTTCCCCCAATATGTATAATAGATCAGAGATTCAGTTTTCATATAACAAAATAATTTCATTCACTAAAAAGAAAAGCTTAAAACATTTTGAATGTGAATTTTCTTAAAGCTCCATTTTGGATTTGCTTTTTTCTGGAGTTTTTCTGTTCTCCAGTGAAATCGAGGCATTTGTAAGTGCTCAGAACTTTTTTCTTGGCTCTAAATATGAACAAAACACATGTTTTGGATTCCTTTCCCTTGTATTAGTTCTTTGAAATACACAGTGAGATCAGTTTACTTTAAGAAGGGATCGTTTACTGTTAATTCAGCCTAGATTTTGGTTAACAGTAGTCTCCTTTTGCTCAGATTTTAAAATAAGTTCTGTCATTGCTAACCTCTCTAGGAAAAGGGTTTACCGAAGGACAAACTCTCCCAATAAAGAGTAAAGAACATAGACGGGTCATAGTAGTGTTGCCCAGAAGTCCATAAATCTGATTCACTAAGACCTTCCCCCATCCCCCATTCGTAGTAGAGTGTGCCTGTGTACGAGAGAGAAGAACACCCCCCTCCACCCCTTTTCTGATTATGCCACAACCCGGTTCCTCCTCCAGCCCATCTGATCTCGGCCACTTATGTGCATGCCTGGAATGGCTCAGGCCAACTGGGTCAGGGATTTCAACCGCAATTGCCATTATGGCTTCTAGCACTGCGGTCTGTGCCACCGTGCCTGGGCCGAGATTGGTCCAGCTCTTCAGTTCTTCATCAGGCTCCTGGGCAGACACACATGTGCCCAGTGTGTTTTTCCAGCCTCTAGGACTGGGACTTGAACCGTGGTTGGCCTTGTAGAATCTGGCTTCATCTGCATAGCACTTAGCCAGTGTGCTACAGGGCTGGCCCAAGACCTGGTCTTTTTCATGGCAAAGCAATGTCATAGCTAATCTGTTAGTACAAGGCAAGGACAGTGGATATGAATTGCCATATTTCTTAAAGTGTTGTCCCTGCAAGTAGCTACGATTCCAGTTGGAATTCGGTGTACACAGGGAAGGACTTGGACCTGGTAGAATTGTTCTTCTGCCAGCACCAAATTAAAAATAGTATTAAGTGAAAATTCATTTCTATCATGTTAATACATAAAAGATATTTAATAGGGCCAGCCAGTGGCATAAAGGTTAAGGTGACTGGATCCCACATGGCTGACTATATGGTTCAAGTGTCAGACTCCGCAGCTTGAAAAAAAAACACTGGGTGCAAGTGCATGCCCAAGATCATGAAAGGAGAAATGCAGGAGAGGACGGTGGTACCACCGACCCCCAGGAAGAGGAGACTGTCTCACTTCCTGCCTCTTTCTCTCTTTGACTCTGGCAAGTCCAAACACCCTCTAACAAATTTAAAAATTAAAAAAGTACCGACTTGGACTCCATCTGGGATAGTCTGTGACAGGAGAGGATGTGTTACATATGTGTACATATGGTACCAGGGCAAGCTCATGGAATCACACTGTGATACTCATAAAATGTTCTTTTAGTACCTGATGGGTTTCCAGGACGACTCCAGACCTTTCCATGACCCTTTAAGGAATAGTAACTGCAACTACTGTTAGTGAGTTAGGAACAGAAAGAAGAAAATTTACCAAAAAGAAAATTTGAGGTTTTGTTTTTCTTCAGTGCATTAGAGGAAGCATTTCAGCTTCTGCGGGTGTATTCTAAAATGGGAAAAGGTCTTGTGTGCAGTCTGTGTTCACTTGTGCAGACACACCCACCCCTACCAAATGTGAGGATGGGAGTAGTATCGCAGAAAAAAGAGGCAGATGTGTGCTTTTTAATACAGAGAAAATCGTTAGTACCAACGTAAAGGACCTTAGCAACATTAGTGCCTGTCCTCGCCGTCAGTACTTAAACCACATAATGTGCAGTTACAGTAAGAGGAGCAGCGATTTCAAATGTACTTACAGATCTTGTCATGCCCAAACTTAATGCCACGTGTATCAGAGAGCTGAAACTTGGTTAATATCCATTCCCCAGTGACTAAAGGGAGACCCGACTACACTGAGCATGAAATTTTTTGCCCCCACCCCCGTAAGTTTTTGCCAAAGTGTGTGTGTGTTCACCAAAGCGAGTTGGGGGTGAGAAAACACGCCTGTGGGGGATGGTCACACCAGTCGCTTTTCCGTCTCTCCTTCTCTCAGGAACTTGGGTATGCTTGCACATGTGCCCAGTGTATTCAAGTTGCCAGGGCCAAGACTCAGACTGTGTGGTTGGCCACGTGAGATCATGGCCTTCACCACCATGCCACGGGCTGGCCCTGTACTGTTCCCCCACCCCCCAAGAGAGGGAATGAGGCGTCTCTAACAGGATTTCACGCATGATCATCCCCAGCCTCAGGCAGGATCATGGGCATGTACACGAGTGTCCCGTGCACAGGGCGACCTCAGGACCTGAGCCTAGGACCTTCCCATGTGGCTTTAGCATTGCCGAATGTTGTGTTCCACCACCACCACCTTCCTCCCAGCCCTGCTGGTTATAAGTACTGCTTTGTCGGGAAGCTGTGTCCATTTCCGTTAAAGGCAGTCCTGTATGTGAACCTCGATGTGAGAATGTCACTTGGTCCCTTCATGTCCAGTGCATTTCTGTGCGTGTGCCCTTGGTTTATGGTGCAGATAAAAGATCTCACCCGAAATGGTCATCTATCCTACAGTTCCCAGTGCATCTTCTGTGTTTTGTTTACTAATGTCAGTATGTCTTATAAGCAACACATAAAAAAAAATAAAGTTGGTCTTTTGCTTGCCAGTAAAGGAAGGAAGTCCTTTCCTAGAAAAGGAATCAGACTTTGCAGATAAAAAAAAAAAAAAAAATTGCTCGAGGGCCAGCCCCGTGGTCTACTGGTTAAGGAATACCTCATGTCAATAGGATGGAGGGGAACCAGCAGTTAGTGTAATGGCTATGTCGCTAGACTCCCACGTAGTCGACCGTGGTTCGTGTCCTGGACCCGGTGGCTTAAAACTCACGCTGGGCGCATGTGCGTGCGCGCCCAAGATCCCGAGAGGAGAATGAAGGAGAAGGGATTGCGGCATGACCATCCCCCCTGTCTCTATGTCTCTCTCTGTCTGTCTGGCGAGCGCACGCGCCCTATAGCATAAAACCTCTCAAAAAAAAAAAATAGGATGGAGAGGTGTAGAAGGGATTTTGATGTGACCATGCCCCATTGCGGGGTGCTTTTCCCCTCTCACACTCCAATAAGCGCATGTACCCTCTGTGATTTAAAAAAAAAAAAAAAAAAAAAAGGACTGCAGTAGGTTTAACTAGGAGTGGTTCATGAAGTCCTCCAAAAAGCCCAGTTCCCCTCTGTGATTTAAAAAAAAAAAAAAAAAAAAAAAAGGACTGCAGTAGGTTTAACTAGGAGTGGTTCATGAAGTATATTTAGTGTCTCTGTAGTATTTGACCATAGGTGACAGAAACCTCTTCAAATTGCTATTAGCAAAAAATAAATGTGTTACAGGGAATGTGTGCTCACCAGAGAGGGAGAGAAGGAAATTGAGAAACCAAGCTCTCGGGTCTGGGACTTGAACTGTGATCGGCCATGTGGAACTCCAAAGTCTTCACCACCACGTCGCCTGCTGCTCCCAAAGTGGTATAGTCCTGTCATCATAAGGAAATATACAGTATTGTTTAAGTTTATTCATTTCTTTCATGGGAGAGAAAAAGAGAACAAGAAGCACTCTCAACGGGGTCTTGACGCTGTGATCCCCCACCCCCAAAGCTTTCCCAGCCAGCTAGAACAGGCACCTGGGCATGCACCAGCCCACCTGGAAACCATACCCTGTGGTCCATGCGACTTCCAGCACTGTGGTGCTGCAGTGGCAGCATCCAGCCCTTGGAGTTGTGAAGTCGAACCTCTAGTGGTAATCGCCAGCCTGTGTTAGATCACCTCCTAGTCTCCAAATGTGGCAGGTGAATGTCTGAAAAAACGCTAAACTATCTCAGGTGAGGATGCTGTACAAAGTCAAGTAGTTGTGAGAATCCCTGGCAAAGATTCAGAGGCAAAGCAATTCCCTCTTTCCCGAGGGACCTGTGGCGGGAGGTCCGAAAGAGTCCTCTTGCCCTGCGTGTAGTTGTGTATGTAATCTGTCTGTAAGAGCCGATGGCTAGCTCTCGTTATTTCAGGAGAAAGTGAGGTTGGGGAGGGGCTTGGGGGAGGCCCGCAGCTTAAATGCCTATTTCCTATACAGCTAGATAGTTTCAAGGGTTTTATATTGTTCCATAATTTTAATAAATACAAATAATGTATGAGTACTGCTCAAAGCAAGTCACCTACAAGGGCTTTTACAAGTATTTATTTTAGTGTTTCAGATGTCACCTTTTGTTGCTAAGATGTTTTTGTGTGTGTGGCTTTCTTTAGAAACGGAGCGTCTACTGTCGTCACAGCTATATTTGGGGGCATTCTCCAGAACGAGGTGAACTGCCTCATCTGCGGGACAGAATCTAGAAAATTCGATCCATTCCTAGGTAAGACCCTTGGCATGTGGAGATATGATACTTTATTAAAATAATGATTCTGATTTTTAAAAGTAAGAGAGTAAGGAGGGATTGAAATAAATCAGCTTTTGAAAATTAGTTTTGATTATAGATATATGCCTTTAACC